ATATGGCTGGAATCCAGCGACAAACCAATGTAGCTACCGCGGAACACTACACAGAGTTAGAATTTAAATCATTATCTAAAGCTAAGCCCTATACATTTGGACTTTGTCACATTTCTACCAGAAAATAAATGTAAAAAGTTTAGATTTTGGTATTTCTGGGTCGTCTCTCCATTTTTTAAACAACTGAAATAAATTTTACGGTTAAAAATACACTGATAACACATTTAAAAAGTATGGAGAGAAGACCCAGAAACAACAAAATTAATGGAAAACGGCTATAAAAAGAGTCGATTTTTGCATCATTTGACTCGTACGGCTATATTCAGATGCATATTCAAATAAAATCAAACATATTTAACTGAATATTTGCCCATTTTACATTTACCTACAACATAGTAATTGGCTAGGTTTTGAAAAAAAAAATGTATAAATCAATGATATTTTTTAATTCTTTTTATGAGCCACTATTCCTGCCGAATCACCATCTAAAGCGCCCACTTTCTTTTAATATTTTTTTTTAATTTATCGGGTTCCTGTGCAACAGGAACGGAAAATATTTTCCCGAAATTGAGCTTTGATTGGCTAAAAAATAACTAGAAAATTGGCCATATCAGACATTTGGTACAAAATTGTACATTTTGAAACACATTTTTCTAAAAATTTTCTATGTCTGGGTCTTCTCTCCATGATTTTGAAACGTTATTTGTGTGTATTTTAATTCAAAGAAACGATTACACTTTTTTAAAAAATGGAGAGAAGACCCAGAGACCACGAAAAATGAACTTTTCCCAAAAAAAATCCAAATGTGTCAATGTGGTGCGTCTTTGTCCTTTTAAAGACATTTGTACATGTGTAGCGGTGATAGCTCAGAAAGTTAGGCTACCTGTTCAGTGCACTCGAAGCGAAAAGTTTTTGGTTCGAGCCTGGCATGGGGCGTTAATTTTTTTTTATTCAGGCAAGCAACCATTTATTTTGTCAGTTTCGTTTTATGTACTGATGTATTAAAATTTTGAATAAGATAAATTTTGGTTCAGTTTGGTTCTCAAGCGAAATCAATTCTAATCTTCTATTTTATAATGTATATGTACACGTATCATGCATCTATGCATTAAATATATTTTAGGTTTTGTTTTTTGTGAAATATTACTATGTTATAGTACTCCCTAGAAAAAAATGGACATAAATGTTACAATTAAACAATGTCTTTCAAACTAAATTTTAAAAAAAACCATGGACGTGTTTGTAAAATCTGACCAGGTATGTTCAGCCAACCAAATCATGGACATTTAAACCATAAATGTTTCGTACAAATGATTCCTGCAGATCACCCGCCAAATGCGCCCATCTTCTTTATAAACATTCATATTTTCATATTTACCAAATAGTATTGCTTGTTTATCAAAACAACAATGAATATTAAACTTATTTAAAATCCATTCTTCAATAGTACACCAGAGTTCTTTTACATGGAAACATACAACAAATAAATGATCAATTGTTTCTATGTCACTTCTGCAGAAATTACATGCTGGAGAATCGATCAATTTTAGTCTAAAAAAATAATAATTTGTTGGGATGATTCTTTGTAAGATTTGAAACTGTAGCCATTGAAGTTTATATTCTTGAGTTATTTTAAAAGGAAGTTCAAATATTTTAGCCCAGTCTGCCTCATCGAAGATAAATCTGTTTTCTCTCCATTTTTTAATTGAGTTAACTGGCTCTTTCTTTTTACTTATTAATATGTTATACATATCCTTACAACCTTTATAATGTTTATAGAGTACAAAAATGGAATTTGGAAGATGTGGTCCAATCAACTTAGCATTTTTAATTTCATCACAGTTTATATTTTTCAGTCTATCTAACACTGCTATTCTAAGACCATTATAATCAACAAAATTTATTTTCACTTTCAAGTTTATTAATGAGTCGAGACTTATGAAACTACCCTCATTGTTAAAGAGGTCAGTAAGAAAAACAATGCCTTCATTAAAATAGTTTTTCCAAAAAAAAGATTTATTATTAATTTTAATCCTTGGATTATTCCATATATGTTCAAAGAGCACATGCCTGTCATTTTCTTGATTTATTAAAGTTAGCCTTGCCCAGCTTGACAGAACTTCTTTCCAAAAAACATTATTTAATCTTGTTGAGAGATTCAGAATATAATCAGAACCCCTTATCCAAAGATTGTTTATATCTACTTTTAGTTCAGCTTCAAATAATTTTACCCAGTTTGCTTGTGAGTGAATAAGTCTTCTAATCCAACTTGATTTAAGGGCAGAAATGAATTCTATGTAATCAATCATTTTTAGACCTCCATATTTGTAGTCCTGGATTACATTTTTCTTTACCTTTTGAATTTTGCTACCCCATAGAAAATAATACATTTCAGTCTCAAACATCTTCAAAAAGTCTGACTTAGGGTTTGGTAAAGTAAGAATTAAATGGTTTAGTCTGGGTAATATTAAAGTTTTAATTACTGTTAAGTTTCCTTAAATTCCACATACGTAACAAAGTTTTGATTTCATTTAGCTTTATGGAATAATTAAGATCAAGCATTTCATCCAAGTTTACTGAAAATTTTATTCCTAGAAGATCAAATACAAATACACTGTATTGAATTTTCTCAGTCAAGCTTCCACCTTGAGTGATGAAATACATCCCTTGAAACTTTTTTACTTCCAATCCATATCATTTCAGTTTTTAAGAAATTTATCTATAAGCCTGATGTATTAGCAAAATAATCTAATTCTCAGAGAATACTATCCATAGATCTTGGTGAACTATCTGAGATTAGAGACGTATCATCAGCATATTGAGAGAGTTTGTACTCTTCACCCTCAATTGTTATACCTTTTATATCTTGATTATTACGAATTAAGATTCCAAGAATTTCAGCACATAACAAAAAGAGATAAGGTGAGATTGGATCGCCTTGTCTGCATCCTCTTTGGGGGAAAAGATAGTCTGAAGTAAATCCATTTTGTATAACACATGATTTAATACCATTATAGAAGGTTCTAATCCAATTAAATACTTTTTGTCCTCAGAACGGCAGTGGACATGGAAAGCTTTAACAACGAAGATTTGGAATGTACACGTAGGGTGAATTCACCATGCATCGGATACCCTTGTACTTCAACAAGTTCTAGCGATATCGCTACCGACGGGAAATTATCAAAATAGAGTTTAACATTTATTTTGTGATTAAAATAACAATTTAGGACACAATTATATGCCGTTTATTGAGAAAATATCCCCAAAAATCGAGTTTTTAGAAAAAACAGAAAATTCACCATGGATCGCATATTGTTCACTATGCATCGGACAGACGGTATGGAGACCGGAAAAATATAATACCTTTATCTCAATGCTTTAAAATCCTTGAAATGGATATATTTTCATCTTTTATCTAAGAAATAACCCTCAGCTGTAATTTAATCGACGATATTATTGCACAAATGTAGAAAGATTCTAAAGACCTCACTCTGCTTTAGAAATGCTTTAAAATGCTTATAATGCCGTAATTCGCGCCCTTTTTTTCATGGTTTATCATACTCTGGTTTGTAGAAATACATGTAAATAGAGTAAAATTCCAGACGTCATATATCGATAACTTGTATTTTGACTGAAAATATAGAGTTTTTATTTTCTTTTTCCGCAAAAAACAGCTGCCAGCTGGGTTCTGTATGAAAATGGTAGTACTTACCTTTGCATCGAAAAGTGTCCGATGCATGGTTAATTTGTGTCCGATGTACGGTGAAAATAGCATACTAGTAAAAACCAGTTCTAATAAGAATTAAACAGACATTGAAGTGAAATTTAATTATAATTTATGTAAAATTACCAATCCCTGACAAAATTCACCAAAGTCCGACTCGTTCCGTGGAAGTCGAATTTAAAAGAACGATAACTCTAAAAATTGCAAAATCATAAATTTCGGGTTATTCCCCTTTGATGATGTAAAATATGACGTAACTTCAAGGCCATTTGCGGGGTATTTTTATCACAACATGATAAACACAATCGGTATCATTAAAAAATTTAAATCTTGGTCTTTATGACAGAAACAAATAAATACACAGAACTCATAAGTTGAAAGAGAGTTTATTGCCTAAAGTTGTCCGAAGCAAGGTATGTGTCCGATGCATGGTGAACTCACCCTATATAATTATCATGAAACTCTCTTTCGCTAATTCATAGTTGTTCCTGTGTATTTAAAAATAGAATTAAAGATTCTAGTCGTGTAAATATTGAACTACTCTTTGTTTCCTCAACTACAGCCCTCAAAGGAGAAGCTTATTTTATGAAATCTGACGGATAAATCTGTTCTGTTTTGTTTTTTAACCTAAAAGTTACAGTTGCAAAACTGCACTTGAAATGCTTATTTTGAAAAGAATTTGAGGTTTCCACAGTGTAGTTGGAAACACAAAATTTTCATAACTTTTTCCGGAAAAAATAAAGTCTGTAACACTTAATTTGTCTGTCCAGAGATAGACTGTGTATAGTACTTCTGCTCACGACTGAATATCATCCTATTTGATTAAGGCGTAATCAAAATAAACAACTGGTATTTATCGATGGCTTTGATAACTTCGTTCATCAATGCTACTAATCTAATGATATCAATTTAAATATGGCTTGGAAAAGGCATGTTTTGTGTTTATTGCTTTTGGTTTATATTTTTAAGGTATGTATTGTCAGAAACTTTTGTAATATGAAATTTGAATTATTAAGTGACACTTAAACAATTTCTATAATTATTCTAATTACGAAAACATAGACGTCGGAAGCAAATTGAAATTGTGGGGGTGAGTAAACCAAAACAAAAGAGTAAGCCAAAATACGAGGAGCTAAGTAAGAATTATTGTAACTTAAATAAAATAGGCCTACTGGTACGTTAAAGCATGATAAAAAGAACACTTATGTATTAAAGTTTAAATCTATAATTGATACACTGTATCAGCTAATTCTTTTACATAATTGTACATTTCAAGGTTACAACTGGGAAGGTAACTTTCTTCATCCACGTAGATGAAGTGAAGAGTCCTGGTAATAAACTTCATGGAGGACGGTGTTGTCAGGGAGTGGTCGGTACCCAGTGTACCAAGTTGTGTAAACCTGTACTCACCGTATGTCTTAAGTGAGTGACGACTTTGAATTTTCTCACTTTGATATTATACTGAACATTTGCACACATATTTAATGATATTAATTTTTATTGCTACAGAGACAGAAGTCATTCATGTGTGTCTAGTTTTACCACAACTTTAGACATGAGACGGGAAGATGTCTTCTATGGCTCCAAAGTTGGAAATACAACAAATCCACAATTTTTAGAAGTTGATTCATGGGTAAATCTTAAAATATCTAACACACATAAATATATACAGCAGAATAATAATGTATTTTCAATTTCTAAGACAGTCAGATATATTCAAAAACTCTTTGTTATCTTGTAAACTTAGTACAAATACCAGGAAAAAATATCACTGAGAGTGGTAGATTTACAACACTCCTCTTCACCACTCATCTACCAGACAGAGTTCTCGGACTACAATCTACAAATAGGAAAGAACATACTGTCACAACACTGGAGACAAAAGAAATTGGTGGCAAATTATTTCAAGGATCAAAATAATTTTTTGTAAGATTTTTTTTTGAATATCAGGTGCTTAAAACTTTCATGAATGCTGGTAACTTAATCTAAATCGTATCTTATCTAACATTTCTATGTTTCAATCAAATTTAAACAAGTTCTATAAATATATAATATAAATATATGAAATATGTACAGAAGAAATTACAATGATTCCATAAACATTTTTTTATTTCAGTATCCAGATAACGTACAAGGCGTACTGTTCTGAGGGTTACTATGGATCAGACTGTACAGCTCATTGTCCTGGTAATCCACAGAAGTGTGTCGTCAACGGTCATACCTACTGTAAAATGGGTAAGCTAGTAATACATTAAGGTATACCCTTACTCAGAAGACAAAAACATCCATTGATAAGAACGAAAAACTACCTACTGCACATTTTACACCTATGATTCTTGTGTTAAATTTCAATTTCAATTAACTAAAGGTAAATGACCAATTTTTCATGCCAGTGGCCCCTGAGTATTTCTCGGAAAATACATCAATTTTTTACATAATTTTTTACTTTGAGTACCAGTTATAACAAATTGTGCAGAAAAAATACCGGGAAATCCTTCTCAACTTTATTTGTTTCTTTCTCATTACGACGTTGCATGCGATAAGGTCGATTTCTATTTGACGAGGCTCACATATAGGATATAGGAGCGTGATAAAAAAGCACGTTTTAACGGGCCTTTAGTATCACTTCAAAAATGGAAACTTAGTTTAGTTTCATCCCACTTGTACAGGATTTTAATTTTAGCTTAAAATGTTAGATTGATTTATGACAGTGATCGTTTAAGTTTCATCTGCCAAAATGTGTAGCATGGTCAAGTATGACAATATATTGCAGGGTGGCATGGAAATAACTGCAATCAGGACATTAATGAGTGTGCTACTCGACAGTTTTGTGGACACGGTACCTGTACAAACACAGCTGGTAGTTTCCACTGTAAATGTCCTTCCTCTGTTTACGGTCTGAAATGTCAGCTTGATGAGGATGAATGTCTTCTGGAGCCTTGTAATGGAGGAGAGTGTGTCAACAAGATCGGGAATTACACATGTCAGTGTAGAAACGGAACAACTGGTAGAAACTGTGAATCTCTTACAGCAAGAAAATGCTCTAGAGAGACATGCAATCATCATGGAAATTGCAATGCTCATAATGGAAAAGCCGTGTGTACTTGTAATACAGGATACTCTGGTACAGATTGTTCTGTGAGAGACTTCTGTAAAAACAATCTTTGTCAAAATAATTCAACTTGTGTTACTGGGGAAACTAATTATACCTGCTTCTGTCCTAAAGGTTTTAAAGGTCAGTATTGTGAATCTAGGGACTATTGTGCCAACAACCCATGTCTTAACTCTGGAATCTGTTCGAATACCCCAACAGGTTTTCAGTGTAAATGTGTTGATTTTTTTATTGGAAGAACTTGTAGTGAATATGACTACTGTGGAGGCAATTGTACTGGAAATGGTGTCTGCCAGGTGGTTGGGAAGGGACACACCTGCTCGTGTAACCCGGGATTCAACGGAACTGATTGTGAAATCCGGGATTACTGCTACAAAGTAAATTGCTCCAATCATGGAATTTGTAAAAACCAACAAAACTCGTACAGATGTTCTTGTAATGGTCAATTCATTGGAAAAAACTGTGAGACTCGGAATTACTGTTTTCAAAAAGACTGTTCTCGTCATGGATCTTGTCAAAACAGCCAACAATCTTACACCTGTAGCTGTTCTGCAGGATATACTGGAAAAGACTGTGAACATACTTTTTGTTTTAATAAACGCTGCTCTAACCACGGTACATGCACAAACGGACAACACTCATACACATGTAAATGTAATCACGGATATCTTGGGACTGACTGCGAGCACAGTTTCTGTACCAACAAAACATGTTCTAATCATGGAACATGTCAAATTGGGCATAACTCTTACAATTGTCGATGTCAACAAGGATATACAGGAAAAGATTGTGAACATACATATTGCTATCAACATCAATGTAAGAATGGTGCTACATGCGTGAATAGGAATTCTAGTTACACTTGCAACTGTGCCCCTGGTTTCAAAGGATTACACTGCGAAAACCGTGATTACTGTTATAGACAAAGCTGTAGTGGACATGGAACTTGTAAAAACGGTAACCATAAATATACTTGTACGTGTGACTCTGGTTATCTCGGACATGATTGTCAGCACGATTATTGTTTTAATAACACTTGCAAAAACGGTGCAACTTGTCAAAGTCACGCGTCCAACTACACATGTTCTTGTACTCCACAAAACGTTGGAATTCTTTGCGAAAAACGTAATTATTGCCATGGACAGAACTGCAGCGGACATGGAACATGCAGTAATGGTCAAAATGGTTACTCCTGCCAGTGTTCTTCTAAGTACCGAGGAAATAACTGTGAGCTTTTGAATTATTGTCACAATAATCCTTGTGTCCATGGAAATTGTTCCAGTGAGAAGAGCAGCTTTAAATGTTCTTGTATTAAAGGATATACAGGAACACGCTGTGAAACAGTTGATAACTGCTACAACAAGCACTGTTCTAACCGTGGTACCTGTCATAATAATCCAATTACATACAATTGTAGCTGTAACGGTCATTTTTACGGTAAAGACTGTGAGAAAGAGAACTATTGTTATAACAAGGATTGTTCACACCATGGTACTTGTCATAACGGACGGGATTCATACATGTGTCATTGTGACGGTGGATATACTGGAAAAAACTGCGAGACTCGGAATTACTGTTACCAACAAGACTGTTCCAATCGTGGGTCTTGTCAGAATAGCCAACACTCATACTCCTGTAGATGTTCTACAGGATATACTGGAAAAGACTGTGAACATACTTTTTGTTTTAATAAACGCTGCTCTAACCACGGTACATGCACAAACGGACAACACTCATACACATGTAAATGTAATCACGGATATCTTGGGACTGACTGCGAGCACAGTTACTGTACCAACATAACTTGTTCTAATCATGGAACATGTCAAATTGGACGTCACACTTACCTGTGTCAATGTCATGCAGGATACGTAGGCAAAGACTGCGAACATAAGTATTGCTATCATCATCAGTGTCAGAATGGTGCTACGTGTGTGAATGGAAATTCTGGTTACACTTGCAATTGTGCCCCAGGTTTTAAGGATACACACTGTCAAACACGTGATTTTTGTTACAGGAAAATCTGTAGCTCACACGGAACCTGTCATAATGGTCAAAGTAATTACACTTGTACATGTAACACTGGATATTTAGGAAAAGATTGTGAACATGACTACTGCTTTAATAATACTTGTAAAAATGGGGCGACCTGTCATAGTGGTACATCTACCTATACGTGTTCTTGTCCCTCTGAATACATAGGGCAACATTGTGAAATTCGAAATTATTGCTATAGACAAAATTGTAGTGAACATGGAAAATGTCACAATAAACAAAGTAATTACACTTGTCAATGCTCTCCTCAGTACCGAGGGAGTAACTGTGAACTGAATAATTATTGTCATAGTAGCCCATGTGAACATGGGCTTTGTGCTAATACAGACTCTGGATATAAGTGCTCTTGTCATGGGGGATATTTAGGTACAAACTGTAATACCACAGATTATTGTTATACCAAGAATTGTTCTAATCATGGAACATGTCAGAACAGATTGAATTCATACTCGTGTAAATGTAATCTTGGATACATAGGTAAAGACTGTGAACAAACTTATTGTTCTATGAATAATTGTAAAAATGGTGCCACTTGTGTGAACGGAAACTTTTCTTATACGTGTAAATGTATTGCTGGTTACCAAGGATCGCACTGCGAAACACGAGATTACTGCTACAGAAAAAGTTGTAGTGGGCATGGAACTTGCCATAACAGTAATCATAAGTACACTTGTAATTGCGATCCTGGCTATTTAGGAAGTGACTGTCAACATGACTATTGTTTCAATCATTCTTGTCTAAATGGTGCTACCTGTCAAAGCCAAACATCTAATTTCACTTGTTCTTGTTCTGAGGAGTACATGGGGTCTCTTTGTGAAATTCGGAACTATTGCCATGCACAGAAATGTAGCAATCATGGAAGCTGCTCAAATAAAAATGGAAGCTATTTATGTACATGCAATCCTGGATATATTGGAAGAAACTGTGAAATAATAAATCACTGTCATGAAAAACATTGTTCAAACCATGGAACATGTAAAAACAAGAATACTACTTATATTTGTAAATGTAACAATGGTTTCACCGGTGTCAATTGTGAACATACTTTCTGTCACCAACATCAATGCCAAAATGGTGCTACTTGTGTGAATGGTAATTCTGATTACACATGTAAATGTGTAAACGGTTACAATGGTACGCATTGTGAAACACGTGATTACTGTTACAAACAGAACTGCAGTGAACGCGGAGATTGCTTTAACAATGATAACAATTACACTTGCAATTGTCATTCTGGTTACATGGGACTAAATTGTGAAATAACTGACTACTGCTCTGGTAAACCATGTCACAACCAAGGTGTATGTATAAATAATGCAAAAGATTACACATGTAATTGTACTCCCCAATATTTAGGCAGAGACTGTGAAAATCAGAATTATTGTTATGGAGTTACATGTAATAAGCGTGGATCTTGTATTAACGAAAAAAGTAATTATAAGTGCTCGTGTAAAGCCGGATATATTGGCACCAATTGTGAACATGACTATTGCTTTAACCATACTTGTAAGAACAGCGCTACGTGTGTAAGTAAATTGTCAGGCTATTCTTGTCAGTGTCCTCCTGGTTATAATGGGTCACATTGTGAAATCCAAGATTTCTGTTATGGACACAATTGCGTCAATGGTGGTACCTGTAAAAATGATTTATCAAATTATACATGTCTTTGTCCGGCTTCGTTTTCTGGATCCCACTGTGAACAGATCAACTTCTGTCACGATAGGAGCTGTAATAACCGAGGTAAATGTCTTAACGAAAATAATAATTACACATGCCAATGCCTTGATGGATTCCGCGGAGCAAATTGTGAACATGTAGATTTCTGTTACTTGCATAATGTCTGTTTAAATAATGGAACGTGCTTGAATAACATCCAGAATTATTCATGTGTATGTCAAGATGGATTTAAAGGTTCTAATTGCGAAGTTGTTGATCATTGTTTGCATAACAACTGTTTGAATGGAGGAACATGCATTAATGAAGTCAATAGGTACACATGTTCTTGTTCTTCAGCTTTTACCGGTTTCTTCTGTGAGAAAGGAAATTTCTGTGCTAAACAAAACTGTAATGATAATGGAGCTTGTCATAACGAAGATGATACTTACAAATGCATCTGTAATGTAGGATTTATGGGACGGAATTGCGAGAAAAAGAACTTTTGTCACCAACACTTGTGCAATAACCGTGGAAATTGTAGCAACATCAGTGATGGATATGAATGTCATTGTGAACGTGGATTCAATGGAACTGATTGTGAAGAAATAGATTACTGTTTCAATAAACCTTGTAAAAATGGAGGAGTTTGTCAGCAGCAGGCAGATGACTACGTTTGCCATTGTGCACCAGGTTTCCAAGGAACAAACTGCACGGACAGAAATCCATGTATAAATCATACGTGCAACGGTCATGGCATTTGTTCTACAAATAACGGCGCTTACATTTGTAAATGCTATGGTGGATATTCCGGAAAAGATTGTCAAGATCAGGACTTTTGCTACCAGATTGACTGCAATGGAAATGGAACCTGTCATAATGCATCGAATGATTTTGAGTGTAAATGTAATCCAGGATTCAAGGGGATTAAATGTGAAGTCATAGACTACTGTCATAATTATGATTGTAACAATGGGACATGCCATAGTGGAAGTCAACAAGCACAATGTATGTGTCATAATGGGTATTCCGGTAAACACTGCAATATTTTCGACCATTGCAGTAAAAATCCTTGCCTTAATGAAGGCACATGTCATAATGGAACTTCTAATTACTACTGTGTTTGTAAAAATGGTTTTATTGGTGGGAACTGTGAATCTGTGAATCCTTGTCATGCACAAAATTGTAATAATCGTGGGACCTGCAAAATTATCCAAGGTAATAATTTTGTCTGTGAATGTCATGGGAATTTTACAGGGAAATATTGTCAAACGTCTCCAACAACGGTGCCACCTACCCCATCGTCAGCTAAAGTAATCAGCAGTAAAAGTTCTACACACAGTTACACAACTGTTCATATTTCAAGTACGGTAAAGAACATATCAGATTCATCAACAAGCAGGCATAGTTTTATCTCGTCTTCAAAATCAACATCAATGTCACCTCAGCCTGCTATCACGTCGGCACACACCTTATCAACCTCCGAGATGGTCACTAGCGGGACTTCCACTTTAGCCCCAGAATCTGCCTCTTCTTCCTCTCCAGTATCTTCCACTGAGAACATGAAAACAAATTTTACAACATCCACTACATCTGCGAACTCTCCTTCTATTTTCACGACGGTGCATAAAATGTCAACGTCTGGAAAAATTGCTACAAGCATGTCCAGTCCAACACCCGTCTCCTCCACTGAAAGTAAGAAAACGATTCAAACAACACCCTCAGCCAAACATTACAACGTGACAAGTTCACAATTTTCATCTGAGAAAACACCTCCTAGTACATCAACTTCTCTGAAAACAACAACGCAAACAACTCCCATGGAAACAACAGCTACTCCTGAACCCACAGGTATGAACTCGGTTAATTCACTTTTCATCATATATGGTTTGCGATAAAATTGAAAAATGAAACATATTAAATATGCTTATAAAAAATGAAACTTTAAATCAGATATTTTTGTTTTCTCTGTAGAAGTGATTTTCGAAGGAAATGTGAAATTTGCCATGGAATGGCACCCAGCCCTACAAAACAAATCAAGCGCTGAATACAAGAATATTTCAAATCATTTCTTAACGTTGGTATGTAAAATATCAAATAATATTTAGTTAATATTTATTGAGTAATTCGAATCGCTGTGGAAGGATACACAATTGGCTATATTTATTTCTAGATGACTGCAGTGTATGAAAATGGAGAATTAGAAAGTGTTTACATTAGCACAGAAATCATCAGTATCACGTAAGTCGAACTTTGCTCTACCAAAAAATATTATATTACTATATTTGCGTTGCTATGGGTAATAGAATATCTTCTTACAAATGTTTTGTTAAATTAACATGTCTTTTCAGTCGAGGTAGTATTGACATTCGATACAATCAGACATTCAAGGATCCAGAAGTGGATTTAATTAATGGAACTGTTATAGAAGTAACCATCAGCACTGTTATAGACGTGTTCGAAAAAGGGATCGAGAAGCTAGAACAACATCCATCTTATGACATCCAGGCTCTAGCACAAACATTTAATATTACACATGCCAAGATAGTACTCCGAGGTGAGTTTTGATTTCTTCATATTAATCTTATTTTAAATATGATAATTTAATTATGAATATCCACACACATGCTCTGATTACTAGTATTTTAAATTGGAATGAGGATCAATGGATCATTGTGATTATATATTTTGTATAGAACTGCCGCGGCCCACGCGACCACCCACCTCTCCATCAAGGTCATCATCTATTTCTAAGTCAACAGGTATGAGGAGCCCCTATAACTATTAATAGAATATAACCATGAAATATGTATGCAGAATCAAATCAAGATTGACTTCTTTTATATTTTACAGCTAAATCGACAAAATCTATAGAAGTAACAGAAACACCCGAAAACAGCAAGGTAAGAATAAAAAGTTTATTCAGACGCTGTGTATGTTTTAAAATGAAACTACTGAACTTGCCAAGAATCCGGATTTTTTTTTTCAATTAATGCGTATAAAATGACTGGGCTTATAAAAGAGAAATACAGAGCGTATCTGTGAAGTGTATTACACACATTTAACATTATATCTGTAGTATGATTTATGGCAATTGTGATATTGATAATACCTTCTTGTTGCCATTTGCTTTGATTTAATTTGGTACATTCTTATTCGTATAAGTAAATTTATTTAAACAATAAAATGCTTTCTTTGTTTGTTTTTACTGGAATTAACGGAAGCAGCTGTTGCAGAAAAAAATACATAACCCGCGTAAGGGGGTTATTTAATTTTTTTCTGCAATAGCTGCGACCGTTAATTCCAGTAATAACAAACAAAGAAAGACATTATATTGTTTATATTGATATCTGTTTAAATAATCATTTAAAGTAGGATTAAAAAGATTAATTATTGTATTAATGCTGCGAACGTCTTTATGCGTTTCATTGATGGAACAGCAACCGATCAAGAAAACTGTACAGGCGACATGCCGATTGTAGTTCATGCAGTGATTAACGCAATGGGTTTTCTTAATAAATAAGGAGAAAATATTCAGCGGATGTAAATATATTCCTTTTAAGGATTTTTTTCCGTGATTTGCATTGCATTAATACGAATATAAAGAATATAGATTTGGGGGAGAATGGAAAAAGGTTAGTTTTGTAAGGGAAATTCCGTGATTATAGTGTTTTTTAACAATAATTACAATGCACTTCTAGCTGCTCGTCAATATTTAACGAATGAAGCAATCGCTACCGATAAAGATATAAAATACCTGTGGATCTTAAGCTTAATCAGCTGAATTTTGTCCTAGATTTTAATAAAGATAGCATCCAGTGTATGAACTTTCTAATAAAGGCTGTTCATAGTACAGATGCTTCTCCGTTATCTGTTATACTTTATTTACAACTTAGGCGTTAGTAAACAGTTAAGTGCATAAATTCGGAACAGGCTTTGGTAACAAAATTTTGAATACGTAATGCAATCGTCAAGTAAAAAACTTAAGATAAATTTATTGAAGATGCTATAATTGCTGAGTTATGGAGAGAACGATCATAGGCAGTTATGCCTGCTGTTCAATCCATTTTTATGAATAAATAAATTTTAAACTAATGTTGCTGAGTTTATTTGGTAATTTTAGAAAGTTTTAGGGTAAAAATTACTTCAACCAAGCTACAGACCATCTTTGTATTCTAACTTCTACTTAGGAATACATGTATTATAATTTTTATATGAAAAAAAAAATCTTTCAGAGATGACTGGGATATTTATATAGAAGCATACTCGAATAATGTACATTGAGATTACTTTTTGTTCAAATTATCAGGGAAAGGTTTTTCTGGGGAAAGGAGTTGCAAGAACTTGTTACCAATCCCTTTGTATGAATTATGCAATAAAATATGTTCAAATCAAAACAAAATAAACAAAAACCCGGGACATGACTTGGAAAAATTTGATAATCTTATTTTTTGTGGTTTTAATTAGTAGTTTGGGTAGGTTATATTTCGCTTCATATATGTACTTATTCATCTATGGTTAAACGGTACCATGTTCCATACCATTCGACTGCAGAGCCAGAAAGACTTGTGGTCTATGGGCCTCACGTTACAATAACTATAAATTAAGATGGTCAAGTGTATTTTAAGTTAATACCAGTAACCTTACTCGGTACATATAACAAGATCGGGAAATTTAACTTTATTGATAAGTTTAAGGATGCTAACTCTGTTGGATAATTTATTATATTGACACAGTTTGATAAATAAATTAAACATAAAAGTATGTTATGTTTACAAATAGATTTGAGGACGTTTACAGAGACATGCGACTTGTGTATCAATTAATCTGATATTACTTTGTCATTATCGGGAAAATTCGGACAAGGTCAGGACGAGTTTTACATGGAAAAATTAAAAGATACGCATGTCTACGAGGGGTTATCAAAAAGTTCGTGGACTAGCATCATAAAATTAAGGGGGGACCTATGTCCGAAAAGACTTTGTGTGAAATTTTCAAAACTTTGACATTTCTTTCCTGACCACTTGCTTTTAATTTTTAGGTATTAAAAACAATACCTTTATATGCTTATTTTTACACAGGAGCACGTGCAAAAACAGTGTGAAATGCTAAAAATAGATTATCTTCAGACATTATTGTTCTACTCCAAATGTGCGCTAAAAAGAACCAAAAATGTCAAATTACATTCGAAATCAACATGTATTTAATTTATATGACTTGTATCTTGAAAATGAAGGCAAATTCATTGCAATTCATCTCGCATGAAAAATTATAAAGGAGCACAATGTAAGTATCACCCTTGTCGTATTTTTTACAATTCCGACATGCATAACAGATAATATCTTAAAAAGTCTTTGTGTGAAAATGTTGTGATTAATATTTTTTGAAAGAAATGACGCCTCTCTTTTTTTTAACAAAGAAAAAAATATACCTTTATGATATAATAAACGAGAAATATGACGTTTTCTTTTATTTTCGTACTCTTCTGTCATAAATATTGACCTTTCTGCACTAAAAAAAAAAGGGAAAGTTAGCACTGACAAACATCTGAATATAAATCTATTTTGCAAAAAACGAGTATTTTGTTTTGATAAGAAAGAATTTAAACAGATAAACTCTTTTCTTCATTCTAATCATTCTGCCCCCACCCCCTCTTCCCCGTCAACAACCAACACCTAATAGAACCTAGGATTGACTTTATACAATAAAATCTACATACACTATAAATTAATAAAATATAGGTACAAGTTCATTTCTTAATATTTTCTTAGTTTAATCCAGAAAATACAATTCATGGTAATCATAAAATTAAACATATTTCCCTGATTTAAGCCGTTGTCTTTGTTGAACTTTATCTGATATTTTTTGCATTTTTATATCAGCATATCATGGAGGTATTTCTTCACAACTGAAATTGCTATGAATTATCAACCAAAGGAGGAGAATTTTAATATTAAAAAACTCCATAAATCAAATAAAACTGTTATAAATGATGAAAAACATTTCTTTTTGTAAACTGTGTACGTTATTGATTAATTACAATTAATGTTAAGCCTATAATCACAGTTGCAAAAGTCAGCGGGAAAAAACAAACGTCGCTTTTGTGACGTCACATAACGCTGCTTTGACGTAGAACGACATAGGTCCCCCCTTAAAACCACTTTAGACACATCAATGAATTTTAAAATATTTTCTTAGCATAATCTTTTCTATCTGAAGAATAAATCATAAATCATAAATTTTATTTGTTAATAAATTAGTGATGTTTTTGTAAGCAATGGTATGTCCATTTGGCGCAACCTCGAACACGACGTTTTTGCGACCTATGTGTAACTGAGAAAAACTCTTTTGATATCATCATTTTTCATCCAAAAATTCCGTTAATTCAGGTATGTGTTGGGACACAATTGTTCCATAAATTATGAAATTTTCACTTCATTCTGGAAGTTCTATGAAATTTTATCGTAAATTTTCACGGAATGTCCAAAGAAATGAGGCCTTGGAAATGGCGTCATAAGGGGGGAAGGGTTTTCGTTTCAAACATTCTATAAAGTTTCGCCCCTGAAAAAACTTGTATAGACCTAAAATATGTTGAAACTGGCTACAGAGAAATAGTATGCATCCAGAGTACTTGTCTTTTAATGTCAAAATAGATTCAGAGAGAAAAGGGATACACAGTTAATGTCAATTTGCAGTCAAGGTGTGAAAAATCAGAGAGAAAAGGGATACACAGTTAATGTCGATTTGCAGTCAATGTGTGAAAAATCAATCACGTCAAAAAAAATGACATTGATCATGTGTTGTAGATAGTGAACTCCCAAAAGCAGAATATACCGGCACAATCAAGTGCGGATCTCTTCCAATGTATTTATCCATTTGGAATATTATATTTCATTGAAGGTCACTGTTCAAGACATTGTAAAGTCATATAAACAAGGCGGGTTTAAGTCCTTTCTCATGCAGCTCCAGGGAATCTCATCAAAAAAGTGTATGAAGTATAAGAAGCGGACATTGAAAAAACTTTGACGTTATCGGACGTTATGAAAATAAACGACGGCAGCGCCGGGTGATCATATAATGTCGTTTTCATATTATAATAATTTGGCAAATAATGAACGTATCAGGCTAAAATTTTCAACATTTCTTTATTTTTTGTTGTTTTATGTTCCATATAAATTTTGATAGCACAGACAACATAGTACTAATTTTTTAGCCTCAGTCCACGAACTTTTTGATAACCCCTCGTATATAGCTAATTAACCTACTTCAAAAAAGAGTATTCTTAAACATTGTATTAATTATATAACTTCAAAGGAAATGGCAATAACTATATCTGATAAGAAGATGAAAAATAAATTAAAAATCCACTTTTTACATTTATGAAATTAATTTATTTATTAAAAAAATGTATAAATCAGCCCAATTGGCAAATGATTGCAAAACACTTGGCTAACCAACAAGGTGTTCTTACATTATTTTATCCATCTAGGCACCTGTTTCCCGAGTATCCAGGAGTCCATGGTTTATGATCTGTGGACAAATCTGTTTTATAACTTTTTGTAGATAGTGAATTGTTTGTTTTCTTCAGCTTTCACTGATCTGAACTTTATTATGAAAATTAAAAATTGTTATAGATACATGTATATACATACATTTCTTATAAAACTTTCAAAAAAAAAAACAACAACTAAGCACTGAAATAGTAACAAAAAGACCATGAACAAAAAGCCATATACTCTAAGGAAAAACGTTTAAATGTATAGCAGATTATTATTTGTTTGTGAGTGAATTTTAATTGCAAATTGTATTCTAACGACCCTTTAAAATGAAAAAAAAAATGATGACCTGTGATCCTACAACTAAATTCTCTCCCCATATACAGAAAAAAAAACAGATTCCACTTCTATTTTTCTTGATCTGGGTATCAGTTTGCATTTACTCTGAATGAAATTGAATATAATAAATATCAAATAACTTAATTTTTTCTCATAGAGCTGGGTACAATCTAACATGGGCGTTGTGATTGGAGCCTCTGTGGGTGCGTTTGTCCTGGTGATTGTTGTTGGCTTTATCATATACAGAGTCAGGTCTGTGTCAGTTTTCCTATTTACACGCACTTGTATGTGTATACATGTACTTTATCCTGTAGATTTATATAGTCAGTCCTCGCCTGCATGATGAGATTATTTTACAAAATCTATTATGTAATTACTTAATCTTTTATGTAATTGTTTAATCAAACATGTAAGCACACCCTATTAATTGTTTGAGGATTTTTTTGAAGAAAATATGCCCTCATTTGTACGTTATTGAAAAAAAATCATTTAAACATAATGCTGTATTTCGGATTCAAAGGAAGAAAGGCTATTAATATAAACTCTATAAATTTTCTAGATAATTCAGCCAATTTTAAAGAATATGCCTTATTTTTATTTCAATATCAAAAACAAGAGACAAAGCTTTCCACCATTATACGTATCTGACAGCTGCTTTAATTACCTGCATTATGTGTATCTTAAATGAAACGTTATTAATTTTTATGATTTGGAAGAGTTTTCATTACATCCTCTTCCGGACAAAGTTGTTTCAACGAAGTGTTCACATATGTTTTCAAAGCAAGCAGTAGGCCCCAAGACCATAAACTGAGAACAAAATTTCAAATCAATATAACTTTTGAAATAATTTTAATAGAAAAACAAACTTTTTACCATATGTTTGAATTGAAATGTTATACAAACCTTTTGAAAACATACATATTATCAATGTCAAGCTATTCAAAACCATAATTTTGAATTAAGTCTGTTCTCAGTTTTTGGTTTCCAGGCATTTGTCAGTAAATAACATTACCGTTTGTTTCTTCCAGGAACCGAAGTTCTGACAAGGACGCCATACTCTGGGACGATAGTATCGGACACACGTTTACTAAACTCGATCGATCTGAGGAATATGCTCTCTCTGCTACCAACCCTACCTATAATAGTTATAGTGGTGGAAAGCTTGAAATAGACTGCTCTTAACATCAGTAGTGTGTAGCAACCATCTATCCCTATAATATTTTCATCATATGCACTTTCAGTGGATAAATGTTTTTATATGATATATTTGGATGTTATGATTGAATATGTACATGTTCAGTGTATGTTGTTGGGAATTTATCATCTTGTGTTTTTCAAAGACATACCGTGATCGTTTTATTGGTTTATGGAATGATTGCTCTATTTTTCATATTCTTTGATTTTTTAATTTTTTTTTTAAATGGTTCGAAAATTATAGCGAATTTGCCATTTTTGTAATTTCAGATATAACTTCACTTAAATGAAAAAATTATAGATGTTGTTATTTTTTTCACCGAGGATATTGCAATTTTAAAGTATTACTATAATAATTTTTTTTCACTTCCGAGTGAAAACTTTTGTGCACAGTATCATAGGATATCATTTCTCTTATAAGATGAAAAACGTATAGATTTTTTGCAAATATAGTGTATATTGTTATTTCCGTTATTTTTAATATTAAAAAAAAATAAATTTAACAAACAAGTTTTAACTTTTTATTCTTATCATCTTTTTAGAGCACTGACGCATACGAGTAAAAGACTCGTTTCTGCCAATCTGATTAAAATACAGGGCTGGGTTTCACAAAACTATCGTAAGATTTGTCCTAAGATAGATCTTACGATCATCTTAAGATCTGACTTATGACAATCATAAGATTTGTCACTGCTGTTTCACAAAACCATGTAAAGTATTAGAAATCTTAAGACAAATCTTAAAACGAATCTCATCATTCAATTTCACAGGGATTTTTTGTTAAAAATCTGTATGCACGAAGTTTAGTTCCTTTCTTTTCCTTTTTTTTTTTGCAGATATAGCCTAGGAAAAAACATCAAAATTTTATTGCATCAACTTTAATGCAATAAGGGTGTGTTAATGTGTGTCTGGGGTTGGAAAAAAAATAAATTTGAATTAATTTTTTATCTCCATAAAAAATAATTGAATAAAATTTGCTTAAATGTCTTCTTGCTCAGAAAATAGTAGATACTGACGAATTTATGAGATGCTTTTTTTTTTTTATTAAAGCTACTAGAGTATCCGAACCTTTGCAATTAATAAGATATTATAGCAATGAATCCTTTTGAAACACCAAATCGTGTTCAAATTTCGTTCATAAAATTCGATGTAGTTGTCTTTAAAACACTTCAACTACTGCATCAAAATATCAATGCTAACAGATGACGAAAAGAAACGAAAAGAACAATTTCCAATCAAAATTTTATAATTTCAATACCATTAAAAGAGAGAAAAGAAAGCATCAAATGTTACAGCGTGATTTTTATACACATTATACATTCCGGTAGATTAATAAGGATACCCCAAGAATAAATTTTTTTGATTTTATGTCATTTGGTACGACTGAATGAAATGCTTACTTTCTAATTTCTAAAAAAATCATCATAATGTAACAAAATAAAGTAAAACCTCTAAAAAATGAAGTGTAGCTACATATAAGTACTTTGTTTTTACTTTCATGGACCTATCTAATCCCTAAAAATGCATATACTTTCGTATTACTGTTTATCAAACTTTAGTCATTTTAACGAGAAATATTGATAACGGCAAATATCAGGAATTAGGCTTTGTATCCATCAACGAAATGTCTTTGAAATAATTTGAAAGTATTTGTTAATTGTGTACATTTTATTTTCAAACATCGAAATAAGTCTACTTTCATTATTTTGACTCTGCAAAAATCGCCGCTAGGGTCCCCGTGTGTTTACACAGACCAGCAGCAATAGCCTGTGGCTATATATAGCCACCGTCTAAAAATTGCTTAAATTAGCAATGCTTGGTCATAGTTATTGTGACATTCTTGCGGGGTATGGAACTCAAATGAAACAATTTTGAATAAAGTTATATATGATGTATGGATTTTACATATATCATAACAAAAATTGCAGTAAATATAAGAATGAAACGGATGTTATGAGTTTGCACTTTTAGTCTGACAAAAGATACCGAACGCGAGCTCTACAGATAAAAGTAATTAAAGAGGCTTATCAATAGGAATTAAACTTTTAAACCGGACAGTCCCACGAAATAAATCATGGAAATGCAGCTGCTACTTACTTGTTTATGAAAAGATGTATTTGGTTAGGGTGAAGAATTAAGGAACCAATAGTATTGAAGTGACCAGAGGTAAGATATTTGGTTAAATTAGCTACAACAAATAATATTTAAAGATTACGCAAAAGACTGGAAATTATTTTACAAGTGCATTAAAAGTTTGAAACGTACTCAAGGTCAGAAGTAATAGTAATTAAATTCAAATTAAAATTTAAAGTAATTATTGCAAATTTCGAAGGAGTTACAAATATGGAGATGTAAATCTACAAAGGTACGCCTAGTATAAAATGAGCAGCCGGGATAGAAAGGATTTCAGTGGAAAGCTGAATTTTGACTGTCTTGGTTGCATTTCATACAGGTGAGATAATTTTCTAGACATGCGCGGTTTTTGTCAAATTATTAAAATTTTCACATGGTTTAATTTAGTTACAGGTTACAATCTTTTTAGTATATTGTAGGAAATTATTTATTGTAATCATAACGATTACAAATAGATTGTTTAATTTAATAAAGAGTGGAAAGCTGAATCTTGACTTTCTTGGTTGCATTACATACAGGTTGGGTAACATCTCCACTCCCCAACACATGTTGGCCGCTCAGGTCCGGAAAGGTCCTATGGAAATAAAATGACAAGGAATTAAGTAACAAAAGGAATAGCGAAAATGAGTCATCCCGGTACCTCTTCACGAGTTCCAGTGAATGAGTCAACCTTATTATGAAAATTATCATTGTTTATTGTTTTCAATAAAACATGCATGGCCTTAAGAAGCATTCGGGGTTGGGGTTCAGTTTCAGTTGGGAGGGGACACAAGCAAAGAAAATTTGCATTGAAATGAATAATGTGGAAAAACATAGAGTAGGCCTAATATAATCCAAAGGATTGTTCTATCACTAAAATCCATTTATCTAAATAAATATCCGTAGGTTTTTAGCCAAAATATGTACTGTCACCATTTCCACTTTAGACTTAAGACATGTATCTAGTTGTCTTAAGATTTTGATAGACCTTAAGATTATCATAAGCTATGACAGTTTTGTGAAGTAGCTATGGTGCAATCTTAAGATAATTTTCGGTCTTAAGACAGATCTTAGTCATAAGACATCTTTGTGAAACTGGCCCCAGATCTCTACATAGCGCAAAGCGCAGAGAGCGCTTTGCGCTATGTAGAGATCTGTATTTTAATCAGATTGAATATATACATGTATATTATACCTGACCTTAAACCTGAGGCACAATTATACAGAGGAATATTTTTGTGACAATTTCTACGCACCGAATACAACTGTACGGTGTTATTACGTTCTTTATTATGGAGGCTGTCCCGTTATTGTGAATCACTATAGGGTTGGAATCAAAGAATGCCGATTAATGGCTGAAGGGCTTGTTTGATATATTTTTTTTTTAAGTAAAATGTATGTTGTCCAGTTTG